TTCTCAGTCAACCATTTCAGATCAGCATCATTCCTCGGACAACACTTACGGTTCACCTTTGAGCGGGTGTTCGGGAGTTGATGGTGTGCTAAGCGAGATGGCAAATAAGTTGCTAGGCCCTGAATCCGATATTGATGACAGCAGCAGTTGCTCTTTTAATGATGTGGTCTCTGAACCTTCTTCCCTAACAAAGTGGAATCGAGTATTGGAAATCGCGTCGAGCTTGGACGTGAAAGAGCTGCTCCTCGCCTGTGCTGAAGCAGTGTCGGATGCTTATTTCCCGGCCGCAGAAGTTCTGATGAATGTCCTAGAGCAAAAGGTATCCATTTCCGGGGAACCTATGCAACGGTTGAGTGCGTATATGTTGGAAGGTATTAGGGCAAGACTGTTTTCATCAGGAAGTATCATATACAAAAAGCTGAAGTGCAAAGAACCAACTAATTCAGAATTGTTATCTTACATGCAAGTCCTCTATCACATCTGCCCTTACTACAAATTCGCTTACACGTCCGCCAATGTCGTGATCGATGAAGCCATGACGAACGAGAACAGAATCCATATAATTGATTTTCAAATTGCACAGGGAAGTCAATGGATGTTCCTTATTCAGAGTCTTGCTCGTCGGCCTGGTGGACCCCCATCCGTCCGCATCACAGGTGTTGATGATTCCCAATCAGCTCATGCACGCGGAGGAGGACTTCAGCTAGTCGGTGAAAAGCTAGCAAAAGTCGCTGAATCATGTCGAGTGCCTTTTGAATTCAATGCTGCTGCAATATCGGGCTCTGAGGTTGAGCTAGAAAACCTTTATATTAGACATGGAGAAGCCTTGGCAGTTAACTTTCCTTACATTCTGCACCACATGCCTGATGAGAGTGTAAGCACTGTGAACCATCGCGACCGCCTATTAAGACTGGTTAAGAGCTTGTCCCCGAAAATCGTTACCCTTGTTGAGCAAGAATCTAACACCAACACTGCTGCTTTCATTCCAAGATTCCGTGAAACTCTGGACTACTATACAGCAATGTTCGAGTCAATTGATGCAGGTCGCCCGAGGGATGATAAGCAGCGGATCAGTGCAGAGGAGCATTGCGTGGCGCGAGATGTGGTGAACATAATAGCATGTGAGGGCGCCGATAGAGTGGAAAGACATGAACTTTTCGGCAAGTGGAGTATGAGACTTAAGATGGCTGGATTTACGCCATGCCCCTTGAGTCAATCGGTTGGTGAAGCTATCAACGACATGTTGAAGGACTATAGCTCGAATTATAGGATTGCGGAGAACAAGGGCGCGCTTTATCTTGGATGGAAGAACAGAGCTTTAGCTACTACTTCTGCTTGGAGATGATGTTTTTGCAATTTTTGTCTAAAGCTGTAAATCATTCCTCCATGATCTTGAGATGTTACCTTTTCAGAAGGCTAGAACAGTGTATTGTTAACCCATTTTTAATTTAAGAAAGATAGGACAATGAAATATTAGTCTTGTACATGTCAACATTGGAAGGAAAATATTAAAAAAGGTTAGTCTGGTGCACTAAGCTTCCGCTATGCGTGAGGTCCGGGGAAGGTTCGGCCATAATGATATATTGTACTTAGTCTTATCTTGCATTTTTGCAAGAGGCTGTTTCCATGGTTCGAATCCGTGACCTCCTGGTCGCATGGCAGCAACTTCACTAGTTGTGCCAAGGCTGCCCTTCATTCGAATAGAACTGTGTGTTGTCCCACATTTTTAGCAGAGAAACATCTTAAGGTAGTTGTCAAATTTGTCTAGACTTATCTGTCTTTTTTTTTTTTTTTTTTTTAGCC